CCAATATAAATAACTGCAATTAATTCAAGAAAAAATCTTGCAAAAATGAATCCAGAATCGGATGTATGTGTTCGAGTTAGTGTATGTACCTGCTCGGTTGTGAGGTCGGGTTGATCCATGGCCACTGGTGGAATTGTGAATGATTTCTTTTAGAACAGATCGGAATCCAGAGAGAGAGAGAGAGAGTATTAACTGCTGTTATGACAGAGAGGCTTACGCAGCAGGAACCTACTATTTTATTTTATTTGGTTAATTTCACAAATGGTCACTTAAGTTACCTGAAAATTTCAAAACGGACATTGAAGTTTCAAAATTTCAGAAACGGTTTTCAATCCATCCTGAAATGTGAAAATCTTCATTTGAATATTTTATTTAACAATGGGCACGGAAAGAAGATAAGGACAGAAGGTGAGGAAAACTGGATTTCCACCACGTCTCTTGAGTCAAATAAACACTAAGAGCTTGTTTGGGAGGAATTAAAATCCAATTACAATTAAAAATATAGCCGTTATTGGATTCCTGTTGTCTGATAAAAGTCAACAATAACGGCTAGTTTTTCAATTTTAATCCGATTTCAATCTCTACCAAACACACTCTAAGTTCAAATCTCCCAAGGTGACCAGATTTAATTCAAAAATTTTGAAATGAGCAAGGAAAGGTTGCGTTCCATAACTATTACAAGACGAAAAAGAGGCTGAACCCATTGTAGCAGAATAATCCGCCATTGACTTTGCACCTTCAAGAAGCAACCTCGTAAAGGTGGACGTACTTTACTGGAATTTTTTTAGTCTTGCTTATATTACACGTTGCTGTTTTTTCTCCCCGGTGACAATAAAATAAGACAAATAACATTTTTCCCACCTTCGTAATTTCCTCTCTACAAATATCCGCACTGAAAATGCACAAATAATCACAACAGAAATTGAAATCATCGAGCAACATGCATCAGGATAATATTCTATAAGAGTGATAAATCATTGATTATATTCCAATACACAAGGAAGAAAATTTCGGACTAGAAATATTTACATCATCCAGCAACTGAGCCTTGTAATTCTCGGGTTTCTTATCGTAACGCCTCAACAGCTGAAGTCCTGTTCCCGTTATCAACTTAGTGCTCATGTAAGTCTCCCACGGAATATCCCTCCTCAAAACCTTCAAATCATCAAAAATAAAAAATAAATAAAATCAACCATATTTCAGAAACAGAACAAACCGAATGTGTAACCACTGCAGTAAATTAAGAGTCTTTTCTGATTACTTAATCAGTGAATGCAAAATACAAATAGGTTTTGGATAATTTTGCAAATATAAATAACTGCAATTAATTCAAGAAAAAATCTTGCAAAAATGAATCCAGAATCGGATGTATGTGTTCGAGTTAGTGTATGTATACCTGCTCGGTTGTGAGGTCGGGTTGATCCATGGCCACTGGTGGAATTGTGAATGATTTCTTTTGGAACAGATCGGAATCCAGAGAGAGAGAGAGTATTAACTGCTGTTATGACAGGAAGGCTTACGCAGCAGGAACCTATTATTTTATTTTTACTTTTTCTTTTTTTTTTATATAATTGTAGCGCTCCCCTGTTAGGTGTCCATAATGTACATGTAGCATAATTCTTTAAAAAATTGTCCATAATGTACATGTAGCATAATCCTTTCTTTTTTAAGTAAAATTAATGAGGAAATTGATATTCTTTACGGGTCGGGCTTGGTCACGGGCCCGTTTGGCTTCTTCCAGAAGTAAAAGTTAATGGAGTAAACACCGCTTAGGGATGGCAACGGGGTGGGTTCGGGGAGAAGCTCTCGTCGCGTCCCGCCCCGTCTAAGATGGGGGGCAGGGCGGGGCGACCGCAGGACCGTTTCCCTATCCCGTTTATTCTTTTTATAATTTTTTTTTTCGCTCTAAAATATTTCCAGTTAAAAGGTTAAGGAAAAATATAACTCTATTTTCAAAAAAAATTGTTCATCAAATTTAAGAACATAAATCCATAACTCTACTTCCAAAAAACAATTGTTCATCATGTATTCTAGCAGAAAATATAAGAATATATTTTTTTTTT